ATCATCCCTAAAACTTGAGTAACCTAAAATCCTAAAATAAGCCCTACGCTTGAGTCATGTCTCATGGGTGGCTAGGATGAGGGGATAATATTAAGTGTTTTTCTTATTCTTAACACTCCGACAGTTCTATTGGCGTATTGGAGGGTAGGTTTCCTCTAAGAAACCAACACAATTATTATTTACACATTTATATATTAACTAACACCAACACGAAGAATAAACAAAAGGAGTAAATCAATAGATCTACGAAATACACAAAATAGCTAAAAACAGCACAACATATTTTTTTGGAATATCGAATTCGTATCAATTTCCATATATTTTAAAATGTTGTATTAATGGACAAAACATGAAACAGTAAAAGGAGCTACAAAAGCATTCATATGTGGTAGTCTTTATTTTTTTTCTCGTCGTTCAATCGTCAGTACTTAAGTTTTTCTATATACATAGTTTGTGGTACTTAATTACATTTTGGGCCTTATCCTAGTACATAATGCAAATGATGACGACAAATCGATATATCAATATTTATCACGCGATATATATCGATATTGTTCAGTAATATCGATACGATATATATCGATATATTTTTCCCTTGCCCATCCGTAACTACAATGAATAGGCTTGACGTACGTCATTGCTGTACGTCAAGCCTACTGATTGTCGTTTTGCATTGTGCCACATTGTGCATTGTGCACATGTTGTTGTTGTTTTTATAATTCGCTCGAGATAGCAGGCAAAGGAACTGTGCCATACAGCATTGTCTTTATGTATAATTATCCTTCATAGTTCACTGCTTCACAATATGTTGATGCGTCACATTGTTCAGCCCTTGGGAGATTTTGACGGCAACTTAAGCCAGCAGGCAGCTGACAGTTGACGATGGTATCTAAAGGCGCCTATGCAAACAAACAGCTTATCTTGAGAATCCATCACCATCATAGCACTTGTAGCACACACACAACACACCCTTTCTACTAATAGTTCACATGTGTAGACAATTAATACATAAAATCGCACCACTTTTACATATCAAATTCACTTTAAACTATTATTTAAACTATAATACAGGAGCAGCAAACCGCCGCTGGTCAAATTCCCGCTAAAACCTCGTGGATTGTGCATGACTTTGGCGGGACGTACGTCAAGATGGACCGTATATAAAATGTATAACGGTACGTGTACACCAAAATCGATTTTGTCGGCCGATGGCGGACAGAACTACCCGGATGAGTAACTCGGACGTGTATATGCTTACACTGCAACAGTGTACCACCTGTGCCGACATTGGACGTTGCCGGTATTCTGTAGTTGACTGTGTTGTTTAACAGAGTGAAGACGCATTTTTTTAAATATCTGGAACCCTAAGGGTACGCGTACACCTAATTCGTCAACGGCCGAAGTTTGCTCGGGCGATGACGACCGAACTCGGACGATCGAATCAAACACTTGTAAAAGAAAGAGAGTGCGTACATAAACACGACCGTCATCATCCGATGACGCACGAAATCGGCTGATCAACCGTTGAGTCCAAACTTGTTGGGATTTCCCGCCAGATTGCCGGCGTCTACAGTGCAAATTGAGTGTATTTATAGTTTAATTTAATCATTTTGTCTTTATTCTGTTGTTTTGTCAGTGTTGTTTATCTACCTAAACGACTATGGATATTGAAAAATTAATTACTTGTGTTTATAATAGACGATTACAATAATAGAGAGGTTTCGAATCGGTTATGGGCTGAAGTTAGATCGGAAATGGATAAAGCGGTTCCAGATATTTAAAAATATGCGTCTTCACTCTGTTAAGCAACACAGTCAACTACAGAATACCGGCAACGTTCAATGTCGGCACACGTGGTACACTATTGCAGTGTAAGCACATAAACGTCCGAGTTACTCGTCCGGGTAGTTCTGTCCGTCGTCGACCGACAAAATCGGTTTTGGTGTACACGTACCGCAAGACCAAATTACCGTGCATCACAGACTAATATGATGCTTAGTGCATCTACGGTAATTACCTATATATCAGAAACTAATAAGAAGTGTTAGCGCACTATATATTAAGTTATGAAGTACGAATCTCTATGAAAAAAAAATACCAATATAAATCGATTACACAAGGTATAAAGTCGATATAGGTTGTATGGTACATTTGTCCTTTGTCTATCAAGGGCTAAAGAAGAAAATGAAAGCGCCCTTAAATTTTGAATACCAATAAAATTTATAAAACTTGATAATAATTTTATTAACAAACAATGCGTATTAGGCTATTTATATGAAGTAGGGAACCAGTTGAGGTAATTCTGAAGATAATAAAAAAATCCGTCTCAAAACATTAATTTTTTCGGGAGTTATCACGACCACATACAAAATCAACATCCAGACGTTCATTTAAAAATGTTTCAAACCGCTTTTATCAAAGTAGCGATATGATTTTTTTTTTACATATAAGATGAATTAATTGATGATTTCTTGATATACGGCTGTTCATATTATCGTATATGTGCAATATGGTAATGATAGAAGCAATTTAAGACCATAAAATTGCTTGTCCTTGACGTGTCAAGAGTAATACTCTAGAGTTTTGGCGGAAAGTTGAACGGCGGTGGTTTGCTGCGCCTGTATTATTGTTTAAATAATAGTTTGAAGTGGACTTTGATATGTAAAAGTGGTGCGATTTGGTGTATTAAGTATCCGCGCATGTGAAATATGAGTGGAAACTGTGAAACAAGTGCTCTGATGGTGATGTGATTATCAAAATAAGGTGTCTGTCTGCTTAGGCGCCATTACCATTGCCAACTGTCAGCTGCCTGCTGGCTCAAGTTGCCGTCAAAATCTCCCAAGGGCTGCACAGTGTACTATGAAGGATGACTATACATTATAGCTTCAGGCTCAGAAAGGCTAGAACCCAGAGCCGTAAAGCCAGTTATAAAAAAAAGAGTAGGTAATACACTACCTAATAACGCTTCGCTTTATGAGGCGTGTAATAATCCCAACTGTCGACACGTGCTTTCATACATATTTTTAGTTTAAATCACTTATTTGCATAAAGGACATTGTATATACATGACTTACCTGCCTGCGTAAACTGTATTTACTGGCGCAGACCATTTAGCTAAAAGTATAGTTACAGGCTGTAACTATACTTTTAGCTAAATATCAGCTGTAACTTACAGTTGATATTGACAGGATAACCGGTGTTGCAATACCACATACAGATTTATATTCAATTTTAAAACAACAGTTAAAAGAAGAATGGAAAATGCAATGGAATGCTGTTTTAGAGGCAGGAAAAGGTCGTTGGTATGCATGAATTAATTCAGAATTAAGTATTCCTTGGGTTTCTCGCAACGAGAGATATTATAGCAGAAAATTTTATACTATAATGTGCAGACTTAGATTTAGCCACTATCGACTGACCGCTCATCTTTCCAGGGTGAGAATAGTAGCATCTGCAACATGCAACTTCTGCGATACAGAACCAGATCAGACTGCAGAACATATAATATTTAACTGTCCAGCGTACGCCATAGAAAGATTGCTACTCATTGAAAAACTTATACAAGTTTATGAAAACTCGGAAAGCGTCCCGCGTGCCCTGCAAGATGTTCTTAGGAATACTAAGACATATTTAGCACTTTGCAAGTGTATTCATAATACTGTAAAAGAAATATGAAATATGGTATCTGTTCGCGCCAAACGCTGGTTTCGGAATCGACGTTAGAGGGCGCGTGGCTCGGTGCGGTACTGGTTTTGACGCGGTCGAGCGGTGGGTGTTGAGAACGCGTAAAGGTGCAAGTGAGTCGTCTGTCAGCGGTGCTAACGCTAGCACACTGTCATGTTTTGTTCGGGAACCGCGGAATAGTTTAGACGTCTAGTAAACATCCTGTCTAGGATTTATAACGCGAATTCCTTGTTGGATAGCCTTTCCCGGGACTTATTGGGTCCGACTCAGAATCTGTATAGGTGCATTCGGCAATATTAGCTAGTGCGGCCTTTGATATTCTAGAAATAACTGTTACTACGTGAAACGGTAGTGACCTTTAATCCGGACGCTCCGTGTTCTTTTTGTGCGTTAACCTTATAACAAACGAGAGTTGGTGGCTTCTGTAAGTTGGTTAATCGTACGATAGAGTTAATAGACTGTCATCGTGACGTACGAGGAAAGTGACTGTGGTCTGGCGCCGAAGCAGTCTGAAGCGGTGCAGCATTTTGGAGCAGCCTGGAACTCGGCCGCTGCTGGTCGCCTATGCTTGACAAGGCCCCACACATTTACACCTCACTGTACACTACTCACCATCCATTATTACACACACTCACGGCCTGCCCAAGCCTTGGTGCGAAGTTAGCTTCGGATAATGGTAAGTACTACGTGTTTCTAGCTTCCTCCCATATTGTTTATTGTAATTAGGAAATTCCGCGCGGCCATATTGAGGCCCGACCTACGTCTGTTCGTTGAAACTCCGCTGATGCGCCCCGGAGGATTTGATCTTTAGGGGAGCAGCCGTAGGCCGTAACAGTATCCCTGTTTTTGAAAATATTGGATTGACAAATCTACATGGATTGCAACTTACAAAGATTATAATATAAAGACCTAAGAATATCCTTTGTGGATTTTGAAAATATGAATAATTAAAGAAAATAAGACATGGCTTCGGCCTTTATGGATTTTGAAGAGATGGAAAGAAGAAAAATAAGACTTGGTTCCAGCCTTTACACTTTAAAATTCTATTTATTCAAGATAAAAAAGATAAGGCTGTATGGCTTAGTTCCTTTGCCTGCTCTCTCGAGCGAATAATAAAAACAACAACAGTGTCAGTGTCGGGGAACTGTCAATTCTGCTAAAAAACACGTCATGTTTTTAGTATTTTGTGTTGTGAAATATTAAAAAAAGGTATTTTGCCATTTTCACAAGGAATAATTTTAACTTATAAACTGTTTGCAATTTAAAAAAATTACTCAAATATGTTTCAGAAGCGGAACCGTAAAGACTGTATTTAAATGGATCCACTCATCGAAGAAGAGGAGCAAAGTACAATGTTCAATCCAATAAGTATTGGTAAGGTCAATAAATTTGACCGAGTAGTTGTTTAGTTAAAATATACTAAGATATATTATTAAAATTGGTTGAAATTTAGAATCGTTTGGCAGTAGGAGCGGGCATGGGTTGAGGGAAGGGGGAGAATCCTTACTCCCGACACCACTCCTATTAAAAGGTAAAATACACCGTTCTTGAGAAAAAAAGAAAATCATAGATCTAACCTGAAAGTAACATTTATCATCTCTGGCAGGAGGGGGGAAGAGGGTAGCAGGAGTGTGCCCTATCAGGAAAAGCTTGGTATTTCTTTAGTAATCTGCGGCATGAATATATGGTCGCCGAGTGGGCGAGGGAGGGGGGGGGAGGGAAGTTGTAGAGTAACTCCCCGCTTCCATTTCCTGCCGGACGTGCTTAGTTTTTTTTATCAATTTTTAAATATGTCATTTTGAGGTTATGTTTTAGTTATGTTTTTGACAATATAAATCTGATTTGTGGGGGCAGAGAGTTGGGGGAGGGTAGCCCAACGCTTCTCAACGTGACGCAGGTGGGAGAAGCTCGGTCGACGGAGCCCCGCTTTGCAGGGCTCCTATTTCTGGATGGTTTATAAAAAAAAAGCCACAAAGGGGATGGAGTGGTCTGTTTGCTCACTTCGCTCGCTCACTCGACCCCTCCATCCCCTTATAACCTAATCTGTCCGAGTCAGGGTGCCCCAAGTCCCGAGCTCGCTTCGCTCGCTCTAGCACCATATAAAACACCAAAATGTTAGCTTTTATAATGAGGGCATCCACGACTTTTTCTGCCACCAGGGCGGCGCCACTTTACAGTGAGGTAAAATATTTGACAGATTTCATAGTGGGGATCATAATTTCTTATGAAAATGTAATTTTTAAAGTTTCTTGCTGTATTATTAGTTATATTTTATATTAATTACATTAGAAATTAATAAAACAAACTATAAAATATAACTAAAAGCCGATTTTTTTTAAAAAGACATAAAGTGCAAAAAATTAAAATCAAACCACTGACGCATGGTGTTGTGTATTAATATAATACTCTAGATAATGATAAACTATTATTTAAAACTAATTTCTCAATTAACTGACACTGTGTAACAAAAAACTTTACCTCAGTCACAACTAGCGACATCTGGTGAGTGGAAGATTATTAGCCTTCATTACTTTAATAAGTAAACATATTTTATAACTTCTACCATTTTCAAAAATGTTGTATTTATGAATATTTTTAGAAAATAATTTTAAATATTTTGATGTAGCTCCGGCAACTAAAATTGCATGGGGGAGCTTGAGATAAGCCCCCTTGACCTCCCCACAGTGAAAGACTCTCTAATAATTATATTAGTTATTTCGTTTTCATATCATTTTAAAATGGATATAACCTCAAAACTATAATTATCGATATTTCGAAAACTAAAGATTTCCGGCATAAAAAGCAGCTAGATGGTAAACAATAGCATCATTGTCTATCACCTAAAGCTAAAATGATCACTTAAATCGTGCCGCAGATTACTAAAGCTGACCCAAAATTATAGTTTATGAGTAATGTTTTTTTTTGTAAAATTATAACCTCACTTTTTTACACAGGAATATTGACTCAAAATCACAACGGCTTCGGCGCTGCGGGAAGTGCAGCCCCTTCGCACTTGCGTAGCGAATCACAGGCACCTGTGCGTGCCATAGCGGCTGAGGCTGGTCGCCGAAGGTGACCAATAAGCCAAAGCTGCGGAGGTGCCTGCGATTTGCTACAGCGGGCGGGGGCTGCTCTCCCTCCGCGTCTACAGCTTTACAAAAACACTAGAAGTAGGGCAGACAAGGAGTGGAGGCGTGCTGGTTTAATTTTAGTACAGATTCGATCAGATCAGATATCTTATCTATAAAGTGAGGTTGCTTTCGCTCCCGCCACAACCTTCTAACTTATTATAACTGAAATTATTTCTGGGTGTTCAAGTATTTCTGGGCAGTTTTAAACAATTCAGAAATAAAACAGTTAATATACTGTTCCATATGTAATCATTTCTTTATTATCTGTAAACATAATTTTTTTTTTACTAATTCCTCAAAAAGATCTCTTTTATTCCTTATAATTTCTCATCTCCGTAAATATTCATATATCAAGTCGGTAAAATTTTCTCTATTATTATAATTGTCTTTAGCAATATATCTCTTGACAGAGAGTATAGACAGTAGAATAATGTGACACTAGTCTTACGTTCTTGCCGCACTTACACAAAATTCTGTATGCTATCCAGCTTTCACAGTAATATTTCCATTTTTTACGCGTTTTAGGTTATAATAGTTTTTATTTATATTTTCGATAACGGTGCATTACCTTTTAATCTAGACCAAATCTCTACCAAATAAAACACCTTACTTCGCCAAATTCGTGCCAAACGATTCTAAATCCAACCATTAAATTTATATTAAAGATGGCAATATGCAGTGAGGAAATGTATTTTCCCAATCTTGGCATCAAATAATATATTTTTGATATTTCTTGGACTGCTCATATCCTACAATCGATTATGAAGGGGGAGGAGGTTCGTGTATGTAATAAATGATTTCAAAAATAATATCTCGAAAACTACGCGATTCGCAGTATATTTTAAGATCAGAACATTAAGATAAAGTGTAACCCTCATAAAAGTTTGAGCTGTTATATTTTTGATGAGTTTTCATTTCAGTGTCCTTACTTTATAATTACATTCTTTGTTATTTTTAAATTATTATGCAATACCAAAATTTTAGATCTAGAAAGATATAGAATGTACTAAAGTCAATCTGCCCACAAGCAAAATATAAACTGAGATCAATCAATATCCAAGTTAAATATACAAAAATAAAACTCATGAACAACAAGTGGCAAAATTAAATATGCATTATTAACAATAACTCAAAAACTACTGGTCAATTCTTGATCAAATTTATATGAGACCACAAGAGAAGCACCAGCTTTCAAATAAAAAAGAATCATTAAATCGGTTCACTTAGAAAAAATTTATGAGGTAGTACACATAAAAAAACATATAGTCGAATTGAGTACCTCCTTTTTGAAGGTAGTAGGAAAAAAAATGAAGACTAAAGATTCACTATGCACTTTAACCTTTAACAATCTTTAGCTAATTCAAGAATATTCACGGTCAAACCATGTTATGTATATAATTATTATGCCACGGGGCTTGGTTAACTCAGTTCTTATTTCAATGTAATGGCGGAGGCCTTGCGGGGCAGTGGGCGGCACAACCTTGTGCTAGCGTACTTCACTGAGTCTGCTGTACAATACATGCGGTTGATGCGAGCGTGTTTTATATGTACTTATTTAACTAATTTTAAATGCCGTTTTCAAGAGATATAATCTTTATTGGTGAACTAGCTGATAACCGCGACTTCGTCCACGTTCCTTGAAATTGTTGTTTCTTAAAACTTTAATAACTTTTTATTAAATGAAGATATCACAATATAATTTTTTATAAAATAACAATTTTAGATTTTTTTTTATAAGATAGAGTGACAAACGAGCACACAGTCCACTTGATGGTAAGTGGTTGCTGTGGCCCATGGACATCTAGATTTATACTCAATTAAGAATCAAAATGTAGATGTGTTGTCGGCCCTGAGGACTAAGATGGAATGCCTTATTTGCAGTAAAAGCCTCTCATGTTGTCTACACTCACCATACTAAACACAGCAGTTTTAAGCTGCTATTTTACGCTGGTATTCTGTGAGTGCGTGGTCCTTCCCCGGTCGAGCCGACCCAGTTATTCTACAACCATAATATGGCTGCACCACATATAAAAATGTTTGGATGTTTCTGGTTTAAAAATAATTCTTGTTCATTAATATGTAAAGATTTTTTGTTATGTTTGTTAAATCTTTCCAACTATAAATATGTCTCAATGATATTTATAAACTATTTTTTTTACAAAGCAAAACACTGGTAATGCTAATATTCCCAGTAGTGACTCCTGGTAAGCTTAAAATGCTTGAAACCACAACCTCTTGAGTTTGCAGTGCGCAAACTGCCATTAGATTTAGTTCTATAATGAATTAAAACTAATTCATTGCAATACTGACTTCACTAACTAGGTGATTACATTCCTATGTTAAGAACTATAATGGATAAAATTCTAAATGCAAAGGCTTTTATATAGGATGGTCAAAACAAGTCTGTTGACTGACAAGTGTGACACCTTGATTCCTTCTGTAATGTTACACTTCATAACACGTTTTGAGTAATCAAATACCAAAAGTTTAATCGGCGCAATTCATGGTCGACATGTTGTTGTAAAATGATGGCTACTTGCAAATATCATGTTTACCGGTGATCTATAATCAAAAGCATGTAGTATTCTAATATCGGGACAATTTGGGATCAACAGATTGTTATGGAATTACAGCTACTTCCAGACAAACCATTTGAATGCCCACCAAAAAATAAACACAAGGCACATTGCCTTGTGATTATTTTTTAATCACTTCAAAAAAAGGACTTGTACTCAATTCAACTCTATGTTTTTTTTTTTATATGTGTGTTTACCTCATAACTTTTTTCTGAGTGAACCGATTTGGATGATTCTTCTTTTGTTTGCTTAAAGCTGATACTTCTCATGTGGTCCCATATAAATTAGATCAAGGTCAGACCAATAGTTTTTGAGTTATTCTTTATAACTTATGTTGAAGTCGGCTGTACAAAAATTTTAATTTTAAATTACGTTTAAAACAATAAAATATCAAGTGACATATTTTATACAGGATGTGATTAATGTTAGTGAAGATAACATTAGTATCACAGTATTTTTGCATTTGGCAAGATAATGCAGACATATGAATTAAAATTATTAATGCCTTTTATAATGTAGTAGTAATTTTTGCACGTGGTAGAGTCACGCTGCAGCTATATTAATAGTATAGTTGTAGCACAAATGGGTCGGCTCGATCGGGGAAGAACCACGCTCTAACAGAATACCAGCGTGATATAGCAGCTTAACGCTGCTGTGTTTCGTATGGTGAGTGTAGAGAACTGGAGACACTTTTTACTGGAAAAGAGGCTTTCCATCTTGGTCCTCACGGGTGACAACGCATCTGTATTTTGATTCTTTATTGAGAATAGATGTGGATGTTTATAGGTCACAGCAACCATCAAGTGGACTGTGTGCTCTGTACTTTATCTGCCTCTCGTAAGCACGCTCTCAGCTTTGCCAAAATCCAGAAGATTGTAGACAAGTTACGGAAGTTGTTTAACCATGTTTCTGATGGGAGTAGATATTAATATAGCAGCAAATACTAATAAGAATTGTTAAACCATGCTCTGTTAAAAGTTCTTTTAATAAACATCTATTCACTATAAGTGTTTTAGAAAGTAGAACCCTATGGTGACTCCCTAGCGGAGTGACGATCTGGTAGGACATGCAGGAAGTCGATGGTGGCTCGGGAACTCAGGATCTTGATTTGTGTCATTTCTTGGAGTAGGCCTATGTTCAGCAGTGGACTTGTGAAGGGCTGTAATGATGATGATGATGATGGCGACTTCACTTTCATATTTTCCAGTTCTGCAGTTTCTGGCGTCGTATGGCTGGTACCTGGTGGGTGCTACCGCGGCTGTTCTGTACCTGATGCAGAAGCTGCGACCGTATTTGGATCAGTGGCGACAAGCGAAGGAAGATGCCGAGTATCACAAAGGTTGTAATACATTTATTTTTTACTTTTCTACATAACACTTTTTTTATAGGATACGGGTGCAGACGGTCTTTTTTTATAGCACAAGAATGACAAACAAGCACACAGTCAACCTGATGGTATGTGCATTCTGTGGCCCATAAACATCTACATATATCCTCGATTAAGTATCAAATTGGTGGTACATGAAACAGATGTTATGAAATTGTGGTTTGTTATGAATGGATTGGATATAATAATTTTATTCAGGTTAATTTTATTAATATGTTAATTATTTTATAAGGTTATATATAACCATATTTACAGTATTGCACAAAGAGGAAATCAAGATAATAGGAAACACTGTATACTGTATTATATATCATTCTCTCGCTGGCTAAATCCTATAGATGTACATGTTTGTCTGAAACAGAAACAGAAACTTTTTTATTCTATATAGATTATAAATAATACTTATTGAAAGTCACTCTTTTGTTTGATTACAACTGGTTCGGAAAAAACCTCTGTCCTGGGAGGAACCAGCAAGAAACCCAGCGGGACTTTTTTTTTTAAATAACAGCTTACAATCATGATGTTACACAAATTAACAACACAACAAATTAGAAATAGCTTGGTAGCGATCACCTCATTTCCAGGGGTTATTATCATTCATAAATTCTTTAATATTATAATAACCCTTTTTATACAAACTTAGTTTAATAAAGTTTTTGAACTTTGAGCAGGTCAAACTTTGTATATTTTCTGGAATTTTCTTGTAAAAGCGTATACATCGCCCCAAGAATGAATTACTGACTCGATGGAGTCGAGTAACTGGTACTACTAGCTTGTGTCTGTTCCTAGTATTTACAGAATGAATATCACTTATTTTTGTAAAACTACTTTTATTTTTGTGTACGTACATTACATTTTCATAAATGTATTGAGAGGCCAAAGTTAATATATTAATTTCCTTAAATTTTTGTCGCAGCGACTCTTTAGGCTTTAAATCATAAATTGCTCTTATGGCCCTCTTCTGTAAAACAAATATAATTTCAGTGTCAGCTGCGTGTCCCCATAGCAAAATACCATACGACATTATGCTATGGAAATAGCTAAAGTAAACTAGTCTAGCTGTTTCAACGCTGGTTAGACTTCTAATCTTTTTTACAGCATATGCTGCAGAACTAAGTCTGCTTGCTAGTTTTGATATATGAGGGCTCCATAGCTTCGCGTCTAGTGTAATTCCAAGAAAAATGGTGGTATCTACAAGACTCAGTTTCTCCCCATTTAAAATTACATTAGTATTTAATTGTTTGACATTAGGAGTCATGAATGAATGAAAATGAAAAAATTTAAATGCAAATTATTAACATTAAACCAATTTACTAATTTAGATATAGCATTATTTACTTCGTCATATTTTAGTAATTGTCAATTTAATTTGAAAGTTAAAGCAGTGTCATCTGCAAATAATACTATATCATGGTTATCCCCTACTATGTAAGGTAAGTCATTAATGTATACAAGAAACAGAAAGGGGCCGAGAATTGAGCCTCGAGGCACGCCCATTTGTACCATCGATCCGGAAGAGCTCATATTGTTAATGACAACTTTTTGCGTTCTCTTACTTAAATATGAAATAATTAATTTAAGAGCATCACTTCTTACACCGTAGTGTTGAAGTTTCCTGATTAATGTTTCATGGTGAACACAATCGAAGGCCTTGGATAGGTCACAAAATATACCCAAAGCACCCTGTGAATTTTCCCATGCATTAAAGATATATTTAATCAGCTCAACACCGGCATCAGTTGTCGAGCGACCCCTTGTGAAATCAAATTGATTTTTATGAAGTAAATTATTTATATAAAAAAAATCAACATTTGATCAAGAACAATTTTTTCAAAAATCTTATTAAGTGTTGGTAGTACAGAAATAGGTCTAAAATTGGCATGATCCAATGTACTACCAGATTTAAATAAAGGTATTACTTTACTATGCTTCATTAAATCAGGAAACACACAATATTCGATACTAGTATTCAAGGTGTTACATACATACATAGCTAGTTGAGGTGCTATTGTATCTATTATAGACGCAATAACTTTAACGGAAATCCCCCACAGTCTCTTCTTGGTTTTACGTTTTATCAAATTTCAAATCGCAACTATTGTAAAGAAGTTTTCACAAAAAAAAAACGATCATATTATGAAGTCGGTACACTAGAGATTCTGTCGCTTGTCCACAGATCCCGACACGGCGTTAGCTCGAATGCAAGCTATTCAACTGGCTCGCGAGCGTCAACAGAAGCTTCTAGAAGAAGCTTCCGCCAGAGCTCTGCGGGAACAGAGAGAGGTGAGTGCTTCCAAAACCTAAGACCAGGCGGTGAAGAGTTCTTACCTCTCTAGGTTCCATCTGGGTTTGTATAAACAGATCGATTTCTGGTCGAAGCAAGAGATGAAACCGAAAGGCCTTAAGAAATTCAGTTCAAGATTGGCTAAAATTAATAATATAAATGATTTTAAAACTTCCAAATTAACGGCTCAAACTGTATGTAATATTACCGTGTAGTGACGGTGTAAGAATATCCACTACCCCATTTCGTCTGTGGGTGTCGTGAGAGGCGACAGGGGGAAAATGAAACAGATGGGCAGCAGTAACTTTCCAGTAGCAACTCAAAATAAAAAAATAACTACGGTTGCAAACCCGTTTGCCAAACGTGGCTATTATGGCAAATATCCCCCTATGAGGCAATCTGTGACTTTAATAGGCTGTAATGGATGGACGTATAGAAGATAATCTACCAGGAGCACATGACCCACTGAGAGGTGAAATTATTAAATCAACAGTAACATTGCAACTATAGTTATACCCCTATGAGACAGTCTATGGGGGACGCCTATGTTCAGCAGTGTACTTTGATAGGCTGTAATAGATGGATGTATAGAAGATAATCTACCAGGAGCACATGACGCACTGAGAGGTGAAATTATTAAATCAACAAGTACTTAACATTGCAACTAGTGCAAATATCCCCCTCCCCCCCTAAGAGGCAATCTATGGGAGAGGCCTATGTTCAGCAGGGGACTTTAATAGGCTGTAATGGATGGATGTATAGAAGATAATCTACCAGGAGCACATGACCCACTGAGAGGTGAAATTATTAAATCAACAGTAACATTGCAACTATAGTTATACCCCTATGAGACAGTCTATGGGGGGCGCCTATGTTCAGCAGTGTACTTTGATAGGCTGTAATAGATGGATGTATAGAAGATAATCTACCAGGAGCACATGACGCACTGAGAGGTGAAATTATTAAATCAACAAGTACTTAACATTGCAACTAGTGCAAATATCCCCCCCCCCCCCCCCCCTAAGAGGCAATCTATGGGAGAGGCCTATGTTCAGTAGGGGACTTTAATAGGCTGTAGTGGATGGATGTATAGAATAATATAATCTACCAGGAGCACATGACCCACTGAGAGGTGAAATTTTCAAATCAACAGTAACATTACAACTATGGCAACCCCCCCCCCCCCCCCCCTGATGTTCAGCAGTGGACTTCAATAGGCTGTAACGCGCATCACGGAAATAATATAAAGTTATTAAAGTTTTAAAAAACAACAATTTTTGTAAGCAGTACGTGATCAGTGATGTGTGGAAGCAACGCGGATGAAATATCAGATAGTACTGTAATTTTTAATGATTAATGTCGTAAATATATTTCAGCGTGAAGAACGGAAGAGAGCAGAGGCAATGGAGAAGCTTAAGAAGCTGGAAGAGAATGGAGGACACCGTCTAGGCACCGGAGATGGTGAGCACTTCTTTTTAAGGTTCCGTAAATATTCAGACATACGTAACGCTTGGTATCATCTGGATATCTAACAACCAGTCTCAACGGAGACTAGCCATCTGCACAGGACAGAGTTATAGTGCACGAGTGAGTGCGCAAGCACAGGTGCACTCTCTATTGCCTCACTCTCATAGTCCGATGGGACGGTACACCGACACGGCCGGAGAGAGATCAGGCGCAGGAGCAACGGCTTTACGTGCTTTCCGAGACCAGGGGGTGATATACTGTCAACTTGTCAACCTGACCCCGGGCGGATACTGAGTATATCTTGACACAAGAACCCAATATTTTGGGCCGACTGTGGTTTCGAACCTGGGACGACATGATCAGCGGCCACGTTTACGACCACGACCTACGTGGCAATCATATAATATATGTATGTACATACATATAAATATAATCTATATACAGTACCAGATGCCATACATATACCTACTTAAATTTATCAAAGTTAAACACATTATTGTTAATTTAAACCTGATGGGGGCATCCACGACTTTTTTTGCCACCAGGGCGGCGCCAATTAAAAGTGAGGTATAATATTTGACAGATATCGTAGCGGGGCAGTTGATTTGTTCGGAAAATGTAAAGGTTAATGTTTCTTTCTGTGCTATTGGCTATATTTTATATTAATAAGATTAAAAATAAATAAACCAAACCACAGATGTTCATAAAAGTCTAGAAACTGATAAACTTTTATTAAAAACTAACTTCTCAATTAAATTACATTGTGTAACAAAAAACTTTACCTCAGTATCAACTAGCGACATCTGGTGAGCAGAAAATTATTTGTTTTTTATTATATATTTTATTATATATAAATTATTTAATTGTCTGCTTGACTTAACTACTACTTAACTTGCTAAAACTTACGGTCGGTGAATTTTATAAAAAAAAACCCACTGAAAAAAAGACCGTAAGAAACTTTTATGTTGATTTTTTTAATTAAATGCAATATTGCTATTGCTATAATTTTGCTATAATTTTCAAGGTCAATTAATTGTTATTTGATTTCTTTCCTACGTTCACACGCACGGGCACACTCCATATAATAATTCCAAAAAGGCGTTTAATACATATTACATATATACCATTTTGCAATAACCGGCCAAATTTGCAGAGAAGGTTCAGAATAAGTAATATGGGGAAATGGTGAAGAAAAATTAATTAAAAAAAATCTCAAACGCGTTTAATTTAACTTTTTAATTCCCGACGTTTCGGGTGCTTTACGGGGGGGGGGGGGGGGATTCCCGTCACCATGGGTCGAAACGCGATAGAATCCGTAAAAATTAGTTTCATCTAATGTGTAGTGTTCGTGTGAATATAAGAAATCATTATCAAACATTCTGCTTTTTATATCTTGTAAATTCAAAATGCGTGGTAATGCATTGTTTTAACTGATTTCACTGCGCACGCACACATTCGTAAGGGTCGATCGGTAGGCGAAAACGTTGTTGCCCATAAATCACATTCAATTTTGGGATAATTTCAAATAAAAGTAGAAGCCTTATTTACTCGTATTTTCAAAAACTGCAATAACGGTACATTACTTATATATTTGAACTTAAGTTTAAAATTTGGCTACTCTTTGAAAAATAAACCTGTGTATAAGTGAAATACAATCAGCGGTATTCACACTCATCACAAGATCTCCAAAACTATACGCCCGATTGACTTGAAATTTGGTATATATACTCCTTCCTTTATGTAGACACCCACTAAGAAAGGATTTTGGAAAATTCAAACCCTCAGGGGGTGAAACAGGGTGTTACAGTTTGTAATCAATATGAACATTTCAGACTATCTGCCACTAAGTGGCGGTGCTTCCACCTCGTCGTATCGGCCACCGAAACGCTCGGCCTGCTCGCGTGGCGGCTGTGGCAGGTAGACCGCTGCAAGCACTACCGCCTCTACCACACACTGAACCTAGCGACTTCTCTTCAGATATACGGGAATTGGTTTTCAAATCTGAAATGTACTTTATGATAGTTAATAATTGGCTTATCTTTAATAAATATTAATAAAAATTGTCAGATATTTATTGTAGTTTGTTAATTATATTTAGTTTTAATACCAAGTTGTATGTTTATTGAAACTATAATGAATATAACAGTCTATGTAACTATCCGACTACACTATTCCTTTATTTTCACTGTTATGGTTTCAGTCTAAAAGTCCCCTGTTGAACATAGGCCTCCCCATAGATTGCTTCTAAGGGGATAATTGCAACTACAGTTTTTAATTTATAGTTGTTATCAGGAAGACGCTGCTGCCCATCTACTGGTTTGTTTCCCTCTGTCGCCTCTTACGAAACCCACGGGATGCTATGGGCTATTTTATTACATGAAAAATACAGTCTGTTGTTCCCACGGAGCAAATACAAAGAGGAGGTGTTGTAATTAGATTTCACTATGTAACAACGCGTGACAATTTGCGGGGTGAGGAGATGTGTAAGCCTCGCCCACTATACTATTTCCATCTACCGATAAATAGTAAAACTACTGGCATCTTTCCATATCGATGTTGCAATGTAGTATAGCTACCTTGACGATAGATGGCAGCCTGTTCACAAAATGATTTAAAAAAATAAGACAATAATATTTTGGCGATTAAAAGTACAAAATTTTTCTAGAAACTTTTAAATGAAACATTATGCCATCCATAGCATCAGAGCGTTTGAGTAGTTATTAACAGTTTGTAACAACGCGTGACAATTCGCGGGGTGAGTGGGTGTTAAGCCCCGCCCAAAATTCTTTTGGACTGAATGTAAAACAAATTTCGCCAATTATGAGCTCTAAATACCTTTATATTTTTAGTCCCCATGACACAAGTGTTGCCATCTAGTGTCGAATATATTTAATTACATTTGAAAGCCGACGCAGAGATTTTTCTAGAATCTTTCTAATAAATCAGGTATAAAATAACTTACAAATGAAATGTGATGCCATCCATAGCATCGGAGCGTCTATCGAGTAATTTTTACACGATAAAACACAACACTTCATCCTTTTCTTCTCAACACTACGAAAATACACCGATTTGCGATTTTCGACACATAAGCGCACAGGACGAACGCTGACAGTATACTAACTAAAGCCACGCCCACTGTGATGACGTCAGGACCTAGTTATAATCACAGTGCACAGTTTCTTATGCCATCTCCTCTTTGTATTTGCTCCTTGGTTTTACCTTGTACTACTTTCGCCAAAGTGCACGGCAGTTTTATTTTATACTATCTGTTACCCGGCGCGTTGTTGCCGCAGAAGATATAATTGTGGAAATATCGTTTTAAATTTACAATAGTTATATTGTTTAATTGGGAATGATAATATTATATTCATTGAAGTTGAATGATGTATAACTTTCAAATAAATTTGTCGGTACGATACGTGCGCCATCTACTGTAATTTAATTGTACTATGCCTATAACCTTCGCGCAAGTGCGAGCAATAAGTTGACAAAGTTTTACCGCAATCTGATGAACGGTATGGCGGCGCATAAAATACGAACAAACAAATATTATTTTTTTATATATTAGATGTGTTTACATCAGTGTTTTTTTTTAATATGAATTAACGAGTCAAAGTTAAAAATACCCTGAATGTTATTTTCCTTATATTCCCACGTCCATGAAATGCCTATTTCCAGGAGTGGGCTTGAAATGTTGGCAATGCGATGTAATACACAAAATAGTGTGGCGCATCTTCGTATATTAAATTATCTATACTATATTTCAAGGGAATTAAAAATCACGATTCCAAATAAGGATATGTGGACGAAAGTGTGTTCACTAGGGTTTTAATATTAAAACACTAAATGAAAACTATTTTGGCGCGGAACCCTAATTCTTTTTCTGCCGACTTCAAACAGGAGACGGTACTCAATTCGACTGTATGTTTTTTTATGTGTGTTGCTTCATAATTTTTTACTGGTTGAACCGATTTCGATGATCTCTTTTTTATTTGAAAGCTGGTGCTTCACATGTGGTCTCATATAAATTTGATCAAGGTCTGACCAATAGTTTTTGAGTTATTGTTAATAATTTATATTGAAGTCGGTTGTACAAAATTTTTAATTTTAAATTATCTAAAATAAAAGCAACCTAAATTACTCATTATGTCATCAGCTATCTGCTAGTGAAAGTCCCATCAAAATCAGTCCAGCCGTTTCGAAGATTAGCCGGAACAAACAGATTAAAAAAAATTTAAAAATTGTATTTTTTTATAAGTACCGTACATACTTTCATATGTATTTAGAAAAAGCTGTAATTTTGACATTACAAACAAAGACTTCAATTTTATTTCTTTGTATAGATTATGTAAAAATTCCGAGAGCTATTTAAGTGTTTTTTAGGGTTCCGTACCTCAAAAGGAAAAAACGGAAGCCTTATAGGATCACTTTGTTGTCCGTCTGTCGGTCTGTCTGTCTGTCAAGACCCTTTTTCTCAGGAACGCGTGGAGGTATCAAGCTGAAATTCATATTAAATATTCAAGTCTACGATCCCTTAGAGCTGTAAAAAAATCAAACTTCTAAGCCAACGCAATCAAAAGATACAGCCGTTAATGCCGCAAATTTTCGACATTCGCAAGGGAATCAAAACCTACAGAGTACTTCCTGTGAACTCAGAATCTTGAAATTTGGTACGAAGCAACGCTTTATACCACAGATATACGAAAAATTGCGAAAAGTATAAATTTTTAGTTACATTATATAATAATTTTTTTTTAAATAATTTTAAACTTATATACCTACAGATTTGTTCGGAACCCTCGGTGCGCGAGTCCGACTCGCACTTTGCCGGTTGTTTTTTATTTTCGCGATTGGTTGTCAAGGCTAGAGCACTAACATAAAAACAATAGAGTATTACACCCATTTTCAAAAAGTGTTTTAAATGAATCCTAGAGTGATAATGAACCAATATATATATTTTTTAAACCGAATAGTGACATAAAAATTACTTTTAAAATCTATCGTTTTAAAAACGCTAGCCGCCATACTGTTCAACTCGTGACGTCACTGTCCTAGAATTTTGACAATTTTGCAAAGGAATAAGATACTTTTGAATGTTTAATAATGAGTTATCATTTATATCAGTGTTGTGTTGTGCCTGATTGCAAAGATGCAAGCATAAGAACGCCGGGGAAGTTATGGATTAAATCGTTTTGCAGATTTGAGGCACAGGTAAAAAAAAATATCCTTTAAATTAAAATATAAATAGAAATCAATATTTATCGTTTACTTTTTACAAAATAAGTATATCATAAATATATATTCTTTGATTTTTTTTACGTGGTGTAAAATACACTATTGTTTGAAATACGTTAAAGTTAAAGTACTTAATAATATTAAAAATACGCTTTTGTGAGAAGTTTATAATTTTTGGCTGTTAATCATTCAATAAATAAATACTTACTAAACTAAATGGATCTTTTATTGATATATTTTTTATTGTTGGAACCTGTTAGACCTTTCTGCCAATTGTTTTTTTTTTTGGTCGATAAACGAGCACACAGTTCACCTGATGGTAAGTGACTCATAGACATCTACATCTGTGCTCCATTAGGAATCAAAATGCAGATGCGTTGTCAGCCGTGAGGACTTAGATGGAATGCCTTGTTTACAGTAAAAAGGGTCTCCGGTTCTCTACAGTCACCATACGAAACAGCAGCGTTAAGCTGTTATTTTACGCTGGTATTCTGTGACTTCAAAAAGGAGACGGTGCTCAATTCGACTATGTTTTTTATGTGTTACCTCACAACTTTTTTCTGGGTGAACCGATTTCGATGATTCTTTTTTTAATTGAAAGCTGGTGCTTCACATGTGGTCCCGTATAAATCTGATAAAGGTTTGACCAATAGTTTTTGAGTTATTGTTAATAATGTTTATTGAAGTCGGTTGTGTAAAATTTTTAATTATTGCCGCACAATCTCACAGGATATTGACATATTTACATGTAGTCAGACGAAGTTCACAATTGCAGCATACAAATTCGTTGAAAATTGTAATTTTTTTTTATTAGTATTTTGTAGTCATTATTTATAAGACAGTAGTTTTCTTATATTTAGGTTATTTATAGCATCGCATTGGTTAATATAACTGTAATGATGTTATAATTATGTAATAAATAAATACATTTTTATTTATCAAATCTTATCAAACACAGCTATGTCCAATAAAAAATTCACTTAAAAGTAGGTAGTAAGCTCCAAACACCGTAAAGTCCATCATAGCTTAATTCAAAAACCGCAAAGTCCTGACTAGCCAATAGCGAGCTACCATTTTGAACGTACGAACGGTCACGTGATACATAAAACTGTTATGGCGGCGGCTTAGCTTTTGCTGTTTTTGTCGTGAAAAAGTTTTTTTTATTATAAGTTACTATGTTATTTTCAAATTAAATGTGCTATCTTTACGAAGACGGATACAACCCCACCGTTGTGGATAAATGTAAAGCACCGAGCTTTACTTTTATCTACAACGGTGGCTTTACTTTTATCAAGAACGGCAGAGAAATCCGAAACAATGAAAGTGAAACCTGCAGAAATTAGAGAGGTAAGTAGATAGTTTTAACAGTGGTAGAGCCACGCGGCAGCTTTTGCTGTCGCACGGATGGGCCGGCTCGAACCGGGGTGATACCACGACCTCACAGAAAACCAGCGTGAAGTAGAGGTTTACCTCTGCGTTTCGCTTGGTGAGTGCAGGTGGCCGGAGGCCCTTTTTACTGGAAATGAGGCATTCCATCTTAGTCCTCACGGGTGACAACGCATCTACATTTCGATTTGTAACAGAGGATAGATGTAGATGTCTATGGGCCGCAGCAACCACTTACCATCAGGTGGACTGTGTGCTCGTTTGTCACCCTTATCCTATAAAAAAAAAAGATACTGC